TAAAGTTTAATTTCCCTCTCAAACACTAAATAAATTAAAGAACCATAACAACATATGACAAAATATGTCTATATTTCTATGGAAAACACTGTGAAAATGAAATGAACCTTGTTTTCTGTGGCATGTTTCTCCTTCTCCACTTTAGCCAAGGTGAGCTCCAAGTCATCAATGTCCTTCTTCAGCTCAGAGCATTCATCCTCCAACTTCCTCTTCTTGGCAGTCAGCTCAGCATTGATTTCCTCTTCATCCTCCAGTCTCTCAGATGTCTCTTTGAGTTTGGCCTCGAGCTGGATCTTGCTCTTAATCAAACCTTCACATCTTTCCTCAGCATCAGAGAGATTCTCAGTTTCCTACATTTAAACATACAGGCTTAGGCTAACATGCATTTCAGACTCCTCATTACAAAATGAATATATTATTTTTTATTTATTTTCTACATAGTGTAAGTACCTTATACAGTAGACTAAAATTACAGTTTTAGATCTGTTGCAAGGCATATACATGATGTACACATCTATATCGGACTGAAAAACTGGATACATACCGCAGCCACTTGGAGTTGCAGGTCATTCTTCTCCTGCAGCAGGGAAACCATCTTCTCCTCCAGTTCCTTCTTCTTGGCCAAAGCAGTAGACAAGTCTGATTGCATCTTATCATAGTTCTCCTTCATCTGCTGCAACTCCTTCTCAGTCTCAGCACTCTTCAGAAGAGGCTTGATCTTGAAGTACAGCTTCAGCCATGGCCAGTTCTTCACATTCATGAATGAACGGATGTTGTACTGGATGGAGTAGATAGATTCTCTGGAAGAAAGAATGATGCATAAATAAGTAAATGTCACATTTACTGCAGTAGGGTGTTTTGTCAGCCGAGCAGTATAAAACAGAACTAATGACTGTGTATTTTTATAATCCTACCTCCTCTCCATCATCTTAACAAACACCTTCCTCATCACATATCCTCTGCAGAGAGCCTGAGTCATGGTCACCAATGAAGCCAGTTTCTCATCTCTCATCTCCTCAAGGGTACCCAGCAGACCAGCTTTGAAGAACACCTGTGGTGTTAAGTCAGCAGACTCAGTTATTTGTCCACATGGATACGACTGGATATATTCAAAACCAAAGTTCAGACTGTTATTGTAAGACATGTACCTTTGTGTGTCCAAACTTGTACTGAGTGTGGTCCACATCAATGGAGCCCAATAGCTTCTCTGAAGCTTTCTTGTTGTCAATGAACTGTCCCTCAGGGATGACACTGGCGTTCAATACTTTGTATCTACAGGATAAAATTATGTTGTCACTTATATTTTCATCCTTTTTCCCTGGTGTTTATCATCTCACTGTCATTGAAATCATCCTGACTTGTTTGGACAGAAAAGTGTTGTCACCTCTGCTTGAAGTCACCGTAGAGGATTCTGCTGGGGAAGCCCTTTCTGCAGATTCTGATGCCCTCCAGCACACCGTTACACCTCAGCTGGTGGATGACCAAATGGTTTTCCATAAGACCTGAGAGTTGAAAATTCATAGCTTTAGGTACAGTATTCCTTTGTATTCCCGTGTAGCATTTTGTGCAATAGTAATGCTGTGGCCTTCATACCTGGGGTCTTTGATTCATTGGGAATCAGGCAACGCACAAAGTGAGGATGAGTGCTCCTCAAGTTGGTCATCAGCTTGCCCAAGTTCTCCTGTGGATCAGCATCATGAAATATTTGGTCAATATGACTTCAATATAAGGTTTCAATTGTTTCTCCAAAAATATGGAACAATACAAAATACACATACTCTGAAAAGGGCGGACACAGTCTGGAAGGAACCACCCTTCTTCTTGCCACCACCCTTCTTGCCACCACCAGCCTCTGGTTTCCAAAACATTGAAGGGCACCGGATGTGTCACAATTTACTGATTAGGTCTCTATCATTTACACACTTAGTTCAGTCTCTTTCAAACATTCCCATTATTTTACCAGTTATAGAGAATAACTGTATTCGTTATTCGTAGAAAGTTTCTCATACAAACATCTGGTATTGCCCACAGTGTAGACATTTGTCTTCAGTATCCATATGATAGTTTTACTAGAACATTGTACAGCATTCTTATGACTCTGTTCATTCTGATATCTTACCCTCAGCTGCAGCATGAGATGCATACAGGAAGCAAAGCAGTTTGTTTGCAGACTTCTGGTAGAGCTGAACAACTGAGTCGTTCAGTGGGTCCTTGTTCTTGTCCAGCCAGCCAGTGATATTGTAGTCCACTGTACCAGCATAGTGAACCAGGGAGAAGTGAGCCTCAGCCTTGCCCTTTCCAGGCTTTGGCTTCTCAAAGGCCTTGGTCTTGCCAAGATGCTGATCATGCAGCTTGTTCTTGAAAGTTGTGTCAGAGGCTTTGGGGAACATGCACTCCTCTTCAAGGATGGAGAAGATGCCCATTGGCTGAGAAGAATTTACATCTCATGTTAAAAGTTAACCAGCACAAGCAACCATTTTAGCATGAATGAAGAATTTTCTTCTTTACGTACCTTCTCAATAAGCTCAATGCAAGCAGCCAAGTCCATACCAAAGTCAATGAACTCCCATTCAATGCCTTCTTTCTTGTACTCCTCTTGCTCCAGGACAAACATGTGGTGGTTGAAGAACTGTTGCAGTTTCTCATTGGTGAAGTTGATGCAGAGTTGCTCCAAGCTGTTGAACTGTAAATACAGAAAGGTGTTTAATATTATGGCAAAATAGTTTTGATCTTTTAACCAGGTCAGAGATTTTTCAACTGCTCACATCAAAGATCTCAAATCCAGCGATATCCAACACTCCAATGAAGAATTGTCTTGGCTGCTTTGTGTCCAGCATCTCATTGATACGGATGACCATCCACAAGAACATTTTCTCATAGACAGACTTGCACAGAGCGCTGACAGCATTGTTGACCTAGAGGATGAGATTTTAGCAC